CCCTAGACACCCACACTCGACCATACTGAGGATTTCGGAGGCAGAAATCAATGAAGCAATCGGTGGTTTGCTACTGGAATTCGCAGTAGTTTTCCGGAATCTTCTTCAGAGTACTACTATGATTACCCTCTTTCCTGACTGTTTGGGAATCCATGGTTGATGTGAAGCGATCCAGCAGAATCCCCGCAAAGAGTTTGTATGCAATGTCGATCATGCTAACCCCTGTAATTACTTCGGGCCTTTTTGTAGCTTTTTTAGGGAGAGAGAGAGCAGTATATAAGTGACCCAAGTCGAGGTCACAGATTTTTCCTCGTGACACATTGCTAGACGAAGCTTGAGGTGGGCGTGCGCTAGTGTGTGTGTGTGTGTGTGTGTGTGTGTTGACCTGTTTCGTTTGCTTTACCAGTTGCCGTGCTGTAGTAAGTTCAATAGTTGACACAGACGGGTCATGCTAGGATATGGTCAGTCTTGTGGGCTACTGGACCATGTCAAAACGTGCTTACTGCTCACCGGTTTAAAATCGTACGTTGGAGACAAACATTCGTCAAACACGACGTGGAAATGGTCGTTGTTGTCTATACATCGGCACTCAAGGCCGAATTTCCTCCGGATGTGTTGCGAATGAATGAATACCCTATGGTTTGGCTTGTGCATCCCGATCACCGTCGACGACAAATAGCATATCACATTTGGGGGATTTCATTGACTGTATCTTGGAGTTGCCCGAAAAACTCATCTTTTATAGAACTGTGCATACTCCATAATTCAGCGCGTAAGCTACTCCATATAAAGCTCAGAGTTTTCTATGGGTTCCCTCTGGTAGAGGCAGTACGCTTTTTTGTCCTGCAGCTTCCGACGGAGATTGCGAGTATACTACCAACTGGACCCTTTTCATTTTTTTCTACACGCGATTTCAGGTTAGCCATTTCAGCAAGTGTGTTGTCCCGGGATAAGTCGACTGATTCACACTGCTAATGTGACCCAATATGGTCGAATTAGCTGTATAATGCTTCCGAGCTTTTAGTTTCACTCGTCCTTTTCTCTGTATACGACAAAATTCAACATGCTAGAGGCATTCCTAAAAGGGAAACGATTAATCAAAGTTCTATTGAGTGTTGCGAAGGGAATTTGTTGGATCTAACCTGGTTCATAAATGTATTTCAGAACTTCCTACAGAGCTACTCCTTTCCCGGATGAGTAAGTAGCCCTTCTACCTCAAGTGTATAGTATGTGAAATCATCATACAACTGCCTTGAATAGCCAGGAAAAACAGCAACTGTTACATTAGTCTTCACGTTTGATAAAAAGACAAAGTGTTGTGAGCGCAGTGGTTTAGTTGTTATCGCCAACGTACTTTAGACCCTATTCATGATATCAGCTTATCCTAGGAAACAGATTGCTAAATGTAAAAGGTGGAAGAATTTTATATTAGCTTCCTTGTACTGCACTGTGATTTATATCACTTTTGACAGTTAGCGGTTTCATTGAAAGATGATGCGGCGTTCTACATTTTGATGTGATGTTGTCACTCACGAACATTTCCTACTAATACTACTACCACGTACAAAATAATTCACAGTAGAAAGAGTACATTTCATGAAGCACTTCAATAACATGTCTAATATTCACACTTTCAGCAAAATCGTTCCACAACACACCACAAAGCACGTTCGCGGAAACCTTGGTCCAATCCGGGGTCCCCGTGAACGTCACATTCCCCGCATCACTGCCCGAATCGGTAAAAGAACTCATTCGACCGGGTGAAACCCTGCTCATGGCATGCGCCCGTCTGGGTCTGGAGTCCGCGGCCCTGTTCCTGTTGGAGCAAACTCACAGCCCGGTGGATACCACGTTCCGATTGGATTCGGGCGAAACGGTTTTCCATTTGGCCGTTGAATCGGAACTGCGTGCCCTGTGCACTCGCCTGGTCACCAAACACGATGTGGACCCCAATCAGTTTCGCACAGTTCAACGGACCTGTGAATCGGTACGTGTATTTGTTTGCCCAGCTTTGGGAACTAATCTGTTCTACTGTTGATAGTGTACAATACTCAAGAACCCATGAATGTCAGCACTTTGGTTGTACTGATAGCACAAATCAGAAAATATATGTTTTATAGGTAGGATTGAATACACAGGGTGATACTGTTCACGATCACTAGTCATATTTACCTCGATGGTTGAGCGTTGGTGGATCCTCCTAAGGTTCGTAGGTCGAATCCGGTCTCCTTCGTTCGGTTCCAGTGGTAGGCAGATTCGCTATCACTTGACTCAATGCCACGCTTATTCCATTCGGAACGGTACACACTGTCATCTCACTCCCGGGAGTGGGTCAGCGGTTCAAAACTTCGTTACTAGTGCTTTGCTTCCAGAAGGTGATGTCCGATCTCGAGGAAAGCGGTTTATTACGAATAACGGTCGGTAAATTGTTATTCACACAACAAAATATTCCATTTGGAACGCCTCTTCAGAATTCCCACACGTGCACACAGGATGGTTGACGGAACGGTCCATTATTGGATGCGCATTCTTGTATTCACCATACCGGACAGCAGCTATGCGCTTCAACTTGGTCTTGTTCATTTTCGTCCGTTGAAAAAAAACCCCAATAGCATCTTTTCACGAACTACTCACAAATGTGAATAGTATCTCCCAACACTAGGAGGTGCGTTTAACATAGAAGGAGAAGAGAGCAACTCCAGTTACACATCCTGCCTATTGTTATTGTGGGGTACAATGACGCACCTTAGGTGTGAACACTACTTGATGGATGGATGGATGGATGGATCACTGAATGGATGCGCATTATGACTTATATTTATGGATATACACTCGCTTATTGCGCAATCGTCCGCCCCCCGGGTTCACGAGATAAACGGTTAACAAGCCCGTTTTGCGGTGCTTCATCAAATAGTCAGGTAAATCAGAAGGAGACGTAATCAACACGAAAATGAGTGGGTTAGTGGAGAACAAATCACGACAGTGTGCGTGTGTGTGTGTGGGGGGGGGGGGGGAANCAGTTGCGAGTCAGTCATGTAAATAGATTTTTTCTCCTTGCAATACACCTATGCGCTGTACATTGTGGTACGGATGAACCTCATACTTTACTTATCTGTTACGGTAACGCGGAATTCCGTGAAAAATAGTTCACCTTTAATTAAGATCAGTTTTTTTTAAATTGTCCTCAACTGTTACCGAGCAAGTCGCCACGTCGTGACCAGGTATGGCCATTAAGAAAACAGGATAAAGATAGACTTTTGG